CATTGACAGCTGCGTCCTCGGGAACCTGAGACCAGGCTGCCTGCGGGGACGGCAGTGCGAGGCTTTCCATCAGCTGCTGTAGGACTGAGTCTTTTCCCTTCGTTACGCGCCCCCACCCCCACCCCGCCCCCCTCTCACCTCGGTGCTGGCAAATAGTGTCATTGGATGATGCTGGAGAGTCGCACAGGCCTGAGTTTGATCCTGGCGTTGCCACACAGGCTGAACAGCCATCGGCAGTTTTATTAACCTCTTGGGTCTGCGGTTTTCCCCACCTGTAATATGAGTACGTATAATAATTTCAACTTCTAATGGTTTTTGGTGAGGACGCATTGAGGTATGGTTACTAATATAGGAATTTCTCCACTCTCTGCTCCCCTCTTTCTGCCTTGATAAATGTGTCTTCTGGGTTGTCAGGTGTGACCGTAGGGTAGCTGATAATCCAGTTTAGAATGGGGCTCTGGAGGGCAGGCTGCAGCCAGCTTCATTTCGCCCTATGACTTTCAGATTCTGGAGAACAAAGAGGCGTGATTTGGTGACAAGCACAATGCGGGGCTCGCTGACTCCATACAAAGTAGCAGCAACCTCAGCAGAGGTTGTTGCGGGCATACTGTGTGCTGGGAGCTGTAAGATAAAATCTTGTTTTATCTCATGCTGGCCTCAAGCTGCAGTTCTGGGCATGTGTCTCCAGGGCCTGGGACCATGCCTGGCACATGGCAGGTACTCAGTTAACATTATTGAAAGAACCGAATGAATCACACTTACAATAAGTGAGAAACCCAAAAATTCAGAGAACAGGGTCCTCAAGACCATATTGACAATAGGAGGGGGAAAAACCCCCAGAAGCTGTGCAGTTCTGAAGCGAAAGTTCTATCCTCTACACCACATTCCACCCCCCTCTCCTCCCCCGTGGTGTTCTGGTTTTGTGTACCAAGACTTCTTTGCCTCAAAGGAACTACATTTTAACACCTTGTATCTGTTTCCTTAACCCTAACCCTAACCCTAACCCAGGCCTCTTCTACTTGTTATATTTTTTAATTCTTCTCCTTTATTCTTGCATATGCTAAAAGTTCTTTATCCCCATTACTTGGGGAAGATGGCATGTGTCTCTGTTTGGAAGACAAGGCCAAATAAAATGATCACTGATCACATTCATTACTGTATGTGATCAGCGTTTGCTTTCAATTCACATGGATGATTGAGTTGCTTTCCTAGGTATGTATCCCACTAACCTCTTGACTTTTGAAATTTTTTAGAAAAATATATATTTTATTGATTTTTTTACAGAGAGGAAGGGAGAGGGACAGAGTTAGAAACATCGATGAGAGAGCAACATCGATCAGCTGCCTCCTGCACACTCCCTATTGGGATGTGCCCGCAACCAAGGTACATGCCCTTGACCGGAATGGAACCTGGGACCCTTCAGTCCGCAGGCTGACACTCTATCCCAGAGGTTCTCAACCTGTGGGTCGCAACCCCTTTGGTGGTCAAACGACCCTTTCACAGGGGTCGCCTAAGACCACCCTGCATATCAGATATTTACATGACGATTCATAACAGTAGCAACATTACAGTTATGAAGTAGCAACGAAAATAATTTTATGGTTGGGTCACAACATGAGGACCTGTATTTAAAGGGCCAGAAGGTTGAGAACCGCTGCTCTATCTGCTGAGCCAAATCGGTTCAGGTGACTTTTAAACTCTTTAAAGATAGCATTCCCCACCCTTGGCACCCTCTCACAGGGTTCTGAAAGCAAATGCTGCTCTCTTCTTGTTTTCTGGAACCGAATGAAGTGTTTTTACATGGTCGGTACATTGCTCTGCCTGCCTGTTTCATGCTAACTCTTGGAGGATCTGATGAGGTTTGCTTAAATCTCAGATACAGCTAAGGGCTTCCGAGACACATCATCAATTTGCTTTCTGATTTGCTCTGACCTGTGAAACCGAATGCCGGTCGAGCATGGTTCACATGAGCCTGGTGTCAGTGGTGTTTAAGACCATTTGGCGTGCTGCTAGACGTATGTGGGTGCAGGGAGTTGTAAGAGTAACCGTGATCTGCCCGGAGTATCAAAAGCCCCTGCTTGTGTGTGGTGGTATAAGGCCTGGCACACAGCAAGTTCCAGACTGGATGCCTGCTGCCTTTTCCATTCTCAGATGAGCACCACCAACACCACAGCTCTTCCCGGCACACGCCCTGCGGGGTAGAGGTTGGTGAACGTTGGTGGAGTCCAACAGACCTGAGTTCCACTTCCCATTCACCCACTCACTAGCTGTGGTACCTGGAGCAAGTTCCTTAACCTCTCCGAGTTCCTAATTCCTCATCCTTTAAATGGTGGTCACACCACACATTTCTCAGGGTGGTCCTGGGGATTAGCGGCTACGCGCAGCCATAGCACCTGGGGAGTGTTCCCTCACAAGGGGCAGCCATAGCACCTGGGGAGTGTTCCCTCACGAGGGGCTACTGCTGCCCTATTGGTGTAGCAACAAGCGCTGCTGTGGCTGCAGGTGACACGGCGAAGGCAGTGAGCCATGCGGAGTGAGGAGAGAGGGCAGACGGGGAGGTGAGGGGCCTCCGCGTCACTCCTGACCCCACGTCTTCCCCCAGAGCCCTGAGGATGATGACAGGAAGGTCCGAAGGAGAGAGAAAAACCGCGTCGCTGCTCAGAGAAGTCGGAAGAAGCAGACCCAGAAGGCTGACAAACTCCATGAGGTGAGGCTGTGGTCGGAGCAGAGCCACACTAGGGCCATGAAGACGCTTGCATGTGGGGGTGGCCTAGATGTCACGTTCTGGTCATCACCAATTTGGCCACATGCGCGTCTAATTCTGCTCTGTGCTTCCAGCCCAGCGCTCTGGTTCTTTGCTCATTGGCCTCTTCATTTCTCCCTCATCCACTGGCTGCATTTCACACCCAAGTTTCTTTCGTTATAAAATAAAAAAAGACCACAGATTCCCTTTTGAGCCTGACACCTTATAAGCTTGTGCCCTTTTCTTTCCTTCCCTCACTTTTCTGTTTCTTAAAAAGAGACATGCTGGCTCCATGGCCTCAGTTCCCATTTATTGCCCAGTCCTCTGATTTTGTTTCTGCCTCCCTCCCCATTGGCTCATGCAGACCTCTGATCTGCTGCCTGCTTACCCAGAAAGTGCAGATCCAGTGGAAAAACTCTCTCTCTCTCTCTCTCGCTCTAGCTCAAACACACTCTCTCTCTCTCTCTCTCTCTCTCTCTTCCTATAGAAGCTGCTCCCGCTGAGACCATGAGTCTCATCACCCTTGACTTTGCTGGACTATTTGACACCATTCATCCTCCCCTTTTAAAAAACCTTTTTCAAGGTCTTTAGCTTCTAAACAAACAAACAAACAAAAAGCCCATATCTCCTACTTCTCCTGACCCTCTTAACCACTTTTCCTCTCCATTTCTTTGTTAGATTTTTCTGTCTCTGTTTTCTTAAATGCTGTTGATCAGACTCTGTCCTTGTTTCTTCTCACCCTGGAAAATTTGATCTATAAATCTGCTTTCCCATCATCCATCACTCTGGGAAGGACCTCTGTTCTAGCCATAACCACATCTCAAAGTTTCCCAGTGGGTCTGCTGCAGGCTTCTCACACGCAGCATGGTCATATTAGAGGGCCTGCTGATCCCCAGACAGTCCATTCTCACTGCCTTCCATTTGTACTTAATGGAGCTAACCGTCTTTCCCATCACCCCAATCTGGAACCTGGGGTTTATCCTAAACTCTTCCATTTTCCTCGATCCCTGTGCATAACCCCACATCATCTCACAGCCAGCACATGGGCACTGCTCTCTATCAGGATCTGGCCTCAAAGGCATCTGAGGGTCTTTCCAAGGAGTGGGGGCCAATTCCAAGCTCTCGCCTTTGCACAGCGTTGGTGTGAACCACTACGATTTTAGTTGAACTCTCTCCTGCCAAGCTTTCTTGCCATCGATTGTCTCAGCAATCCAGTCTGGGGGCACCGACGGCAGAGGAGACCGGGGTGTTTTGAGGGGGAATGACAATCTCTGAAAACCCTTTAACAATGAACAGAGAACCGAGTTAGGATGTACGTACTCCAGGGAGAGGAGACCTACTGATACAGCTTCACAGCGTGGCAGTGGGAAG